CGGGAAGCCCATGTGGGTAATGAAGGGTTCACCTTCATTCGTATGCTCACTTCGGGTGTCTTTGACAAGGCACACTACCCACCCCTGTATGACAAAAAACTGAACAGTGGTGTCCTGGATGAACCTCTTGCCGAGCTCCTTGCGTATCTCTTTTCTACACACCAGACGTGTGGTGTGCCGCTGGAGATGCACCGTTCTGCTCTTCTTGACCCTGCCGTAAGTACTCTGTGGGAGGGTAAAACAGGTCCAACACAACACCGAGCCGTGCTCTCTCCCATTGACGTGTGTTCTCCCACTATACATGCTTTTGATAACACGGACTTTTTTGCGTTGCTCTCTGCCTTCTACAATTATTTGGCATCTCATCTGGCACCTCAAACCGGCGCCGCCCTTCGTCTTCCTTGCATGAAAAGCACCAATAAAAAGTGCCGCATTTTTGGAGGTGGGTCGACGGAGTTCCTACTCAAGCAGAAACTTCAGGAATCGTCCGTCCCATACAAGGCCCGATCCCCATTTGTGGCCATAAGTGGTTGTGGTGATCTGTTCACCTCCGTCGATGACGTCACGTTTACTCTTCGTGACGGCCTTTATTGCGATCGGACTTTGCTTCCCATCCTCGACGTGGCGGACGGTTGGCGGCACGACGGGGCACAAATTCTCATCAATGCCTGCCTTTTGGACTTTCTTCGTGCAAAGGCGCAGATTGACACCACACGCAAAAACTATCGCTTCACTCTGCTGGAGGAACTCAACGGCCTCTCTCAGTCTCTTTCCTACGCCGTGCTGAACCGGGCCGAGAAGATTCTGTCCAACCTGGCCGGTTTGGTGCGACCAACCAAATTGCCCCGCGCGAAGGTGTTGACGGCCATCATGCCGGATGAGTCCGAAGAGGGCATTTTCATGGCAGGGGCACCGCGTCTGCTGGAGGTTGCGGGACGTCTGAATTCGCTCCAGCCACAAATCCAGAAACGGCTTGCGGAGGAGTTGCTCACAGCCAAGTGGGCAAAGAGGATAAGCGAGATGAACGCGCAGCGCAAAGATTAGCATAAAAAGCGGGAATTAGGTAGGAAAGGGCCGCAAAAACAAGGAAGAGGGGCAGCCACGAGTCGATGGAGGAAGGAGTGCGAGGTAGAATTCTTAGGGTAAATGGAATGTACGCTTGGTGGCGCTGGGATGCGGAAAAAAAATGAATCGCTGCAATCATTATAATGCAGTATTTAAATATTATGGTGAATACAAAAATTATATTTCGATGAATTCCATGCTTGCAATTAAAATGTTTTAAAATGGCCGCGGCTACCGCAATTATGGCGAATGTTTTTGCAAGTGTTACGTTTATTGGCTTTTATCATTTACAAGATTAAAGGAATTTTAATTTAAAAATTGAAATGGGTAAACCCAACTGCCGGTGCCGAGCGCTAAGCCCGTTGAGTCAAAAAGACGACAAAAACTAGCGTGTTCACCCTTGTCTGGCCAAAACGCCGCCTTCCTGCGAAGGCGCTCGGCGACCCTATCCTAGCGCTTCCTTCCCTTCTTTTTTCTTTTTTGTGCTTGCGTTTTTGTTCGCTCGCAAAAGGACTGTCAAAGAGTGAAAAGAAGCCGTTGATTTAACCCCTGCCCGAAGAAATGGCGCCTGCTTGGGCGGAAACGCGCACGACACCGCCTCGCCAGACGACGCCACAACGCTCCAGATATCGTCGGTGCCGTAAAGCGCCTGCAAACGACCCGTGGGCACCGCATTCGAAAGATCCAGCACAACCGTCAAGAGAGGGCTGAGGTTCGCCGTCACGTCAAGGGGCTCTCCGCAATCGCCCCCGCGAGGAGGAGCCTCTTCCTCCCTCTTCTCGCCCTTCCCCGCACCAGCCGAATGCCGCCGACCACTCGCCTCCATTCGGCGGCTCCGTTCCTCAGGTGCGGGGCCGCTCGCCGAGTTCGGCGCCCGTGCAGCGACTTCGACCGTTGCCACGTCATGCGGGGCCTCGCCCGCGCTTTGGCGGCTCCGCGGACGACCCCGCCCGCCCAGCTCGCTCCCCACCGCGGTGGAGGAAGCAGCCCCGCTCGCAAACAGCGCGGAACGACGCTTCCGCAGCGCCTCCGCATCCAAACCGCGGCGCCACCCGCCCGCCGTGGAGGCAGAAGAGGCGCTTTCCCTGAGCGACGCCGCGGCAGCCACCCCAGCCGTCCCCGCAGTCGGAGGCAGCCGAAGAGCGCAGGGGGCGGAGGACAGCTCGCGGGCCTCCTCTATGCGCTGAATGGCCGCCGGCGTCATCGCATTGCCCCTCGCATCAAGCAGCACCACGGGAGGCGCGCAGCGAGAAACCAGCAGC